TTGTATTGGTATTCTATAACATTATACTTTCTAAGTAAAACCTGTTCTGGCCATAACAATGTCTGACTGTTTCATTTGAACAGCGTGAGGGAGAATGGATTCGAGACCACTGCATGCAAGTGGGAGACGCATACTTGATTGTCTACTCCATCACAGACCGAGCCAGCTTTGAGAAAGCCTCTGAACTCAGAATACAGCTCCGCAGGGCACGCCAGAAAGAAGACATCCCCATTATTTTGGTCGGCAACAAAAGTGACCTTGTCAGGTGCCGCGAAGTTTCAGTGGCAGGTAAGGAAAATGATGAGGATAAAGCTGACATAAACATTAAGAGTCATCTAGTAGCTTTTGAATGAAATGCAGAGCTCTGGCTGAGGGAGTACGCCGTGATCAGGACTGGGCAATAAAAGAGCAATAAAACAGCAGAGGACTGGAACACAGGGCAGAGGACTGGGAGGGGTCTGCCAGGTCCTTAAGCCTCCCTTGGTAATGCTGTTACATGTCAGATAATCCCTTTTGTAAATTTATTAAGTACCATCATAAAAGCAACTTGAATTTCTTTCCTTCCAGCTCCTAGTGTAAGACCACTGCGGTATGTGATTCCTCTGGTAGCTGGAAACCCTTTGGATTTCTAATAGATGTTTATGCATAACATGTTTAGCCCCTTTTATTCTGCTGCCAAAGATTATCTCTTCATTTAACCAGTTCCCTGATGAATTAAAATTCCCTCTCACCCTTCGTTTTGCCAGTCTGGGCAGGGACTGCGCAGCCTTTCAAGAGAGGTGTCCTTGCTGCCTTGCTTTGGGATGCTAAACCAGCCCACCTTCTGCTGCATACAGAAGAATAACCAACCTGTACCATTCTCCCAAAGCCCAGGGAGCCCTAAACCCATAAACAGGAGTAGGGAGACTGCTGGGAAAGCTGCTGTCAGCTCTGCAGCCAGTAAAATCTCCCCCTGGAGAGTCTTTCTTGAGGCTTAGGTGACAGAACATAACACACAGCAATACATTAGGTTATCTCATCTTGGCCCATTAGAAGCATGGGTTCCTCTGCTCAGCATTTTCTTCTCCCTTCAGCTGTTCTGCTTTTCTACCTCCCAATTGATCTAGACTTTTTTTTTCCACTGGCGATGTGCACAGTTCCGGATGTGCACAGTTCCTCTGGCCCCTGTCACAGCTGCGCCAAGTGAAGAGTTTGAACCGAGGAGTACATCAGGAGCCCAGTGATGCCTATTTGCCTTCTCATTCCTCTCTGCCCCTCTTGAAAAGTCTTTTGAAAGATGGCAGATGCGTTCATGTCATTTCAGTCATCCTGGTGATGAGTTCATGGCAAGCCACAAGACAGACTAAATTGGTTTGCGTGTGAAAGGCAGCTGTCAAGTTTAGCTTAGGTTCGTGTAATTAAGGATAAGAACTATGATTTCGGATGTACCTCCAAAGCCGTAGGCATAGTTCTGCCTTTATTTAAGGGTTTTGTACATGCGTCTGTTCATGCCAAAGTTGCTACTGTTCCAAGGCCCTGGTTTACACCCACGACCCACGGAGGAGGCTGGGCTCTGCCTCCTCTGGGGACAAGAGCTGTGCTGTGCGCATGGAGGGTGCTGTCATCACCCTTTAATGTGACTTGAGGGAGTCTACACGTAAGATGACCAAGTAGTTTTGAGTCATGGCTGACCTCTCAGCCTTCAGTGTCTCAGCATGAGTCGGTCAACCCCAGCTCCCTTCACAGCCAACGGCAGGGACTGGGCTTTTCCAGGAGGGGATTCACCCCCACTCCTTGCTGGGCAGGGATTGTGACACAGAGCAGATGAATCATGGGCTAGCAGGCAGCATTAGGTGATTAAAGACTTATCTGTGCCTATATTAGGCTTGAGGAATTCCCCGCCGGTGGCGCTGGCTCCCCGCATGTGGCAGCCTGCGGCTGCTTTGCCTCCCCCCTGCTCATGACACCTCGTGACATATCCACCTTGCAATTTTGCAGAGGGACGAGCCTGTGCCGTCGTGTTTGACTGCAAGTTTATCGAGACCTCGGCAGCCGTGCAGCACAATGTGAAAGAGCTGTTTGAAGGCATCGTGCGGCAAGTCCGGCTCCGCAGGGACAGCAAGGAAAAGAACGAGAAGCGGCTGGCGTACCAGAAACGGAGAGAGAGCATCCCCAAGAAAGCCAGGCGGTTTTGGGGCAAAATAGTTGCCAAGAACAACAAGAACATGGCCTTCAAACTCAAGTCCAAGTCTTGCCATGACCTATCGGTACTTTAAGAACGCTGGACTCTGCCAGACCTTGTGGCATTTCGTGGACATTATCTAACTATGTCATGGGACAATCAATCAATCTATATTAGATTGGGCTATCAAAGTGACTTAGGTTCACAGTTATGATCGTGATGGTACGTGCTGGCATAAGAACAGCACACTGCATGGAAATATCTCTCGTTCTTTTTTTGTTGGTAGTTTTAAAAGAAAAGTATAGACCAGAACGACCCGAAGTTACACTGGGAAGTGTTCTGGAATATACCTGTTTTTCCTCCTCTCACCTTCAGATAATAGTGTAAGAACCTTGAACTGTCATGATTTGGGAAGTGATTACTACAATCTTTATTCTTTCTCCTTGTTATTAATATTTCTTTTTTAAAATTGTGTAAAGAATTGATGAACTGACTGGGGATTGGTCCTTTGCCAGTTGGCTGGTCAGGCTTGAGCACCCACAGCTGAAAAATCTGCATTTTTGTAGAGTAACCACCAAGACACCTTTTCTTTTTTTTTTTGTAATTTCAAGGATTGGTTTTAATGAGTTTACACATCTCTTACTTTGAAAATATTTAACGGAAAAATCCTATAATCAAATTTTCCTCTCATATTTTCATATTATGGGACTGTTTAAAAATCATAGTAAAATTAAAATGAAAGTGCAAGTTGTATCAAAGTGCATCAAGTGCAGGATGCCAAACCTTTATAAATCACCTGAGCTTTTTTAAGAAACCACATGGACTTCATGTATCCAGCCTTGGTCTTTCTCTACGCCAGAGCTATGCTGTATTTATTGTTGTGCAAAATAACAAGCATTTTAATGTTGAGGGGAAATGTATTTATTACCAAGTTTCTTAAAAGAATAATGTTAATTTTATTACTGTTTTCTATCTTTTTTCAGATATGCAAGTTTTTACTTACATGCCTTGTAATAAAACAAATAAAATATATGACTGCCTTTGAGCCTCCATGGGAAATCCTTAAGAATTTTTTCAAATTGAGAAAATATTTTGAATGCTGGGCAAGATTGCTACATGACAAGTACAGTGAGGATTCCTTACATCTCTGAGCACAGGCTACTTAGCAACCTAGGATCACAAAGCAAGAATTACCCACAGCCCCAAAGCTATGAGTGCATGGTATCCCTCATGTGCAAATGTGGTTGTGGTGACAGAGATAAAAATAAATCATTCTTAAAAAAAATTTTGGCGCTAAGCCTGAAAACACTTTAGAAATGTAGATGAGTATTGTTACCCCAATTTTGGAGATGAAAATAAGTGAAATGCTACATTCAGGGACAGAAAACAGGTAGCTGGCATGGTGTGCCCTAATCTTCAGTTACTGTTGGGCATAACTGTGTTATTTTCCTCCTGACTATGGTGGGTTTTGTGGGCACACTGCAGAGTTCAAGGTAGAGGTACAGTCATTACATTTTGCCTGCAGATGTCTCAGAAGAGCCAAATCTTCAGCCTGGAAGCTCATCTTCCTTGATGATGAAGGCAACAAAATGCAACACTAATAAAGTGAGAATTGGGTTCCCCATCTTGGGCTGTGCAGCTTTCATGCACCAAATGCTCTGGAAAGGAATGAGCTTGCTGAGTGTTTGCCCAAAATTGCCTCTGCTGAGGGGATGACTTTTAGCAGTTGTCTAGGGGTAAAATATCTCATTGCAGGATGACTCTGCACTTGTGCGGTATTCAGATCTCCCTGGAAGGGAATTCCTGATCTAGAATACTGTTGGCAAGAATAGAAACCAACATTTTGAATAGAGCACAGACAAGATCCCTGTCACTGGATTTTGAATGAATATTTCTGAGTTGTCAGCATGCAACTTAAGGTCTACCCAGAGGAGTCTAGAGAATGATACTCACTCCAATACCAGTTTTCAGAACTTTTAAACTCTCAGAACCTTTTCCCCATTCAAGAATGGAAACAAAATCACACAAATTAAACACAATTTTAAGATTATTTTTAAGAACTGAAAGTGTAGCTGAATACAACCAACACATTTCCTTAGTATGTTCTATATCTGTCAGGCTATGGACCCAACAAATCTGAACCAAGCAGGTTTTGAAGAAATATAAAATGTCCATATTGATCATAAAGCCTTTAGGAGCAAAAGCCGTCCATGTTCACAGCATCACTAGATGCATCAATGGTATCGTAAAAATTTGGAGTTACCTAGTAAGTTTTCATGCCCTCACTTGTCTCCTTCCAATTCTTCCCAGGATAACAAAATTTCCTTCTAAACCATATGATTTTTTAAAGAAAAAACCCCATGTGGTGGGCCCATTCCTGAGAGCTGCCACAAGCTACCACAAAGCACAGTGTGGTGGTCATGCACAGCATGCTGTATCACCAAGTTTTCCCGTGGCCATGGGAACAGACATCACTGCAAGTCTGTCTTCTGGGGCTGGTGCTGGTCCCTCTGAATAGCACAGCACTGCCTTTGGACCAAAACAATTTGAAGAGCTACCTCCACCTTGTACATCCCAGTCAACCTCCTGCTGGCCCTGTTGGTCCACCCTGTAGGCTCCTGGCTTGCTCTGAGTTTTCAGGGAGAGCATGGAGGAAGATGTGGGGTGAAGAACCACCAGCAACAACATCCCTTCCATAGAGCCATTACTTCAGTTTGCTCAGACACTGTTGGGGTGTGTTGCTGTCTGACCTCTGGATGTGGAGTGAGAGAGCTGGGGCTGAGGATCCACATTCCGCATGTTTCATGGCTTTTCTTGCTTTGGACCAGGTCTAGCTTGGTCCCGTGGACTGAATGCCCACCTGGGACTGCAATGCCTGAGTTGCACTCCTGAAGGGCACTGTGAGTTTCACCTGGAAGCAACCGTGGTCATCTGCTATGATCTGCATGGCTCCAGCGAGTTGTGGGTACAGACGAAGGGCCAGGACTTTCTTCTGCATCTTATGAGATGAATCTGAGTCACGGTTCTAGCTGATCATCACCAGATTATCAAATGCAGAAATGCTTGCTATATATAACAGCTAGTGTGCTTGGAATGGCTAATTAATACTAATTTAATCTGGAATGCTGACATTTCAAACCCTTAATATCCACAATCCCTCTGTTCATCTCAGATGTGTGTCGAAAACCGTGGAACGGATCAATCAGTGATCCTAATCACTGCTCTGGCTATTTATTAAGTCAGGGCTACAATGACAGATCCTAATGCGATAATTACAATGTCGGCCCCAGAGATCTGGCAGTAGCTGTGGAATACGTGAGTCACAGCAGTGAGCACACCAAGGCCAAAATGGCAAAACTCACAGAGTCTAAATAACATAAAATAAATACAGGAAAAAAAAAAAGTCTAAGAACACACAAAATGCCAATTATAGTGTAATAGCTGCTACAAAAAGCTCTTTTTAGGAAGATAGATCAGATCGGCAAGAGGAATTAGGGGGCATGTCCAGCTTAATTGATTTAATCATGACAGATTAACTGCAAGATGAAAGGTTTACTTATGCTTTGGGACAAAACTACACTACGGAATTATTCATTGTTATGGCACTGTGGATTTGCAGGGTGCTACATGCTTTTGGATTTAGAAGAATTATTGATAAAATTTAGTCGAGTGAAAGAAAGACATTTTCAATAAAATCAATGGATACACTGTGGATTTAACCCTCACATATACAAACCTTTGAACATCAACCCCCTGGAAAGCTTTAAAGACCATGGACCAGAGTTCTTCCTCTTGGGCTGTTTGAAGTGCAGATGTATATGGGAGAAAGGGCTCAGACAGCAGCAGTCCTGGTGATGATAATGTGAACTACAGAGGGCTTCAGCAGAGGAAGGAAGCAGTAGATTTCTGTGCAGTATTGCCTCTACAATCAGCTAGAGCTCTTTTTTCTCTCTGGGAAGGCTTTTTAGAGAAAGCTGTGGCACCTAGAGAAGAGGTGAGGTGCTAAGGAGTACTAATGGTGTTTTATTGGAGAGATCCCTGGACTAATAAATTCTTGACTCTCCAAAAGTGAACCGTGCAACTCACTCCTTGCAACGTCTCTGAAGACTGTAGAGCTGTATGCGTTGCATAAGTCATTCCTGTGCCTGACCCACAAGCACAGGAGATAAAAGCCTGTGAGAACTGTGGGGCTGGTCCTCCTCTGACTATCTTTTCTGGACTCACTAGACACCATTGCTCAGTTAGGAGGGCAAATGCTGCAGGCTGTGGTGGTGTTCAGCATGCTGCTGGTGTTCAACAGATGTGCCTTCCAGATGCACAAAATAATACTTAAAAAGAACTGTCCACCTTGCTGCAGTCCCCATCAGTTCTGGTTCAGTGGAGTAGCACAGGACTGACAAGCAGGACAAAACACGGTTTCTTTGGTGCTTGTCCATTTGTAGGACCCATGCAATGCTAAGCGTGTGGTAGCACCCAAGGCACACGTGGCAGCCTGTGTTAAAATTATGCTAAATGTCACGCTGCTGGTCATATTCGACCAGCACTTTTAAATGTGGCAGACTCTGTGGGAGGTTTATACAGTGACCTCTAGGTCTCTAAATGTAGCCCCCTCCGGTTAAAAAAGTGAACACCATGTTATGCTCTTCACTACGCTCCAGAGAGGCTGTGGAGAAGCCTTGCTCCTGCCCTTACTTCCAGAAAGGACCATGGGCCAGTGACCTGCAGGTGTAGGGACCTAACATCAGGTAGGGACAGCTGCAGGAAATTGGGTGAATCCCAGCATCTGCCACAACCAGAAAATGTATGACGTTAGTGTGCAGCCTGACAACCCTCCCACCTGCCCCCTCCTCGTGGTGCTCTCATCCCAGAAATCTCCTACAGACATTGCGGTGAGCAGGACCTCCTCTCTCCGTGACCACCTCACACAGGGGCCTGCAACTGTTTCTGCATTTATCCTCTGTGATCACACAGGTAAGATCATCAAAGGAGTGGCTTTTTGCCTAGAGACGCTGAAATTGAGTGTACTAATCACTTGTGATTTTAGTAATTTTGCTACAACTGGTTCCCTGCTGTCAGACAGCAAGGACAACGCACCCACGTGAGAGCACTCTAGTCCCGTGTGGCTCGCTTTACAGTGCCAGCACTGTCTCATCACCTGGTTAATAATTTGCTAAGAAAATGGTTAGTGTAACACACTTCCTCCAAGTTTTGAAACTTATGCTCGAGTAATTTTAAAATCAAATTATTTCCTAAGTGGCAGTTGTTTCTAGGCAGAGACTCTGTGTGTGTGTGTGTACTCAAAAGCCTCCAGTTAGACACAGGTTGCCCCAAGCCGAACTCTGACTGGTCTTCGGGCCAACAGGAGAAAGGGCGGTGGGAATTTTCAGTGAGAAAATTCAGACTCTCACATGGATACACTGAATGATGTCTGACTTCAACTGCTGCATCTGTACGTACTGCACAGAGGGACTAGCATTTCTTCCCCACTTGCACTGCTCTCTTGGTGGGTATGGCCAGCCCCAGGATGCCACATCCCCCACGGGACCCGACACTGCCCACCCGAGGGAAGGTGAGCAGTGGGGGAGCCAGGGGGGCGGCAATGGGCAGGCACTGGGCAGGCAGTGCTCCTGTGCGGGGGTGAAGGGGAGCACAGTGACTGCCTCT